AAAAAAAAAAAGAGCATAAGGAGGAAAATATCGCTTATTGAACAGGTCACCATACAACACGCATGATCCTGATGGTTTATGTAAGTTATTTGTGAGTATTTCTTTTTCTTTTAATAATTCTCTATTATTGATATTTCTCTGAATCTTAAGAATTCACTGATGGTGAGAGTGTTTTATTTCCATTTTATAGATGCAGAAAGTGAGGTCACTAAGTGTGCAAGTTAGACAGGGAGGCAAATTCACCAAGTACACATTCTTACTATGATATTAGACTTTAGAATTTACATTGCAAGTCAAGGAATTCAAATTCACTAGACAGAATAATCATGTGTTTGGGAGAATTTCTTCTTTGGAGGCCAAAAAAAAGGGGGTTATTTTTCATGTATTTGGGCTGACTTGGAGAGGGAAGAAAGAGAAGGAGATTTCAAATCTGATGGCCTCTTGTAGAATAACTAGAGGCCTGGTGCATAGCATTTGTGCACTGGGGTGGGGGACACTCAGCCCAGCCTGCACCCTCTCACAGTCTGGGACCCCTTGAGGAATATCTACCTGGCAGCTTAGGGGGAGTGGGCCTAAGCCAGCAGCCGGCCATCCCCGGAGGGCTACTTAGCGCTGCCACAAGGTGGGAGAGGCTTCCATCACCAACACTACACTTGCCAGCCATGAGCCTGGCTTCTGGGTGAGTGGCGCCCCCTCTGTGGGGGTGCACTGACCACCAGGGGGCAGCTCTTGCATTGTGCGTCTGACCCCTGGTGGTCAGTGTGCATCACAGCAAACAGTTGTTCCGCTGTTCAATCAATTTGCATATTAGCCTTTTATTATCTAGGACAAGCCACTTTTCTCCTTAAAAAGTGACTCTATCAAAAGACAAATGAAAAAAGTAAATAAAATTATAAATCTGGATGTGTAATATGTGATATATATATATATATATATATATATATATATATATAGATTGCCCCCCAAAATGTATACACACTCAACAGCTGATAGCTGAGTTGATGTTTCTTTCTTTTGAGATTTAACCCATTGGAATGAATAATTGTTCATAGTGTGCAATTTTTTGGGGGGACAATATATATATATATTTGGGAACTATATGTATCTTTGGAAACAAATTTTTACTCCAACTCATTTTCTTTCTTTCTTAGTCCCCCATGCTATTTATTCTGGTTAAAGTGGTTGCAGCCTGAAACAAATATGCCCCCCCCCCCTTGGGACTTCTTGTTTTAAAAACCCTTTTTGCAAAGGGTTTGTTTTCTTAGACTTGGAAGCTGTTGAAAGGGGCCAGATGGATAGCCTTGGAAGCTGCTTATCTGCAGAGGAGAGCAGGTGTAGATGGGCATCCTGGGCTTCCCACGCGGCACAGCTTCCAACTCCTGCCCTCCTGGTCGACAGCTAATATTAAGTTGGGAAGTTAAGAGGACTCCCTGAAATAAACGTGGACACTATAAGTCAGCAGCACATTCCTCTCCTGTCACCATTGTTGTTGATATTACAGGCTAAGACCCTCCCACCTGATACTCCTTAAAGTCTGATATTAAGGAGGATATTGGAGGATGCAGTGCAGTGTGGGAATGCAGGAGGAAGGGCAGAGTAGGTGACAGAGTAGTGAGGATGTGAAATATTGTCTGGAGTTGCCTTTCCATACAATAATGCTATCTGCATTTTGTGATATCTTCTCTTTGTACGTATGTGGGAAAGACCAAACCATCCCTCAAACATTAGCCCTAGCCTTACCGAGTTTCTGAACCAAAAGTAGTATCCACCTTTTCCCAGATTTCTTGTTCTAGGAGAAAAAAAAAGTATTACTTCTGTTATTACTTGGGTTCTCCTTTATTTGTGGCAGAAGCATTCATTCCTAACTGAATCAGGAGGAGAAAGGCAACTGGAAGAAGTTTGTATGAAACAGAAATTGAATAAACCACGTTTAAAATCATTAGCAGTGTCTGGCACATAGTAAGTGCACAATAAATATTTAAAAAAGAAATATGGATAAATATATGAATCTTGCAGGACTTTTGTGGATATAAATTGACATGAAATAATCCCTCTAAAACTTCAGCTAAGAGGACTATTTTCAATTTTGATTTAGGGCTATCAGGGATTCATGCACTGGGGGAAGGGCGTTCCCTTGGCCTGGCCTGCACGCTCTTGCAATCTGGAACCTGAGAAGATGCCAATGAAACCCTGCTGATTTTGTAGAAGAATTTATTATAAATTATGGCAAAGTTTCTTTGAAAGCAATTTTACCACTGGGGTGGGGGAGGAGGGGACTTCTGATCCAGCCATCCCTAGCATAGTTTGTAAATGCCTGTTACATCCTATATAATAAAAGCTAATATGCAAATTGACCCAACGGTGGAATGACCGGTCACTATGATGCTCACTGACCACCAGGGGGCAGATACTCAATGCAGGAGCTGCCCCCTGGTGGTCACTGTGCTCTCACAGGGGAAGCAAGGCTCAGCCAGAAGCCCTGAGTTGGGCTCATGGCTGGTGAGCACAGTGGTGGGACCGGAGCCTCTCCCACCTCCACGGCAGCACTAAGGATGTCCGACTGACAGCCTAAGAGGGACTGGGCCTAGGGCTCCTGGGTTGTAAGAGGAAGATGAAGTTCTAACATTTCAGTTTTCTTGGAAGATGAGTAGACAGTTTCAATAATTTTTTGTCCATATTTTGTGACATCAATGATAACAAATCATATATATTAGTGATCAGGAAATGAAATGTGTATTTACAAATAATTGCCTGATTTTAATTTTGTGATGAGGAAGAGGGCTACAATTAAATAGAAATGTCTTCTCCTTCCTCTCTCTCCACCCTCCTCAAAACAAAAAATTTCTTGAGATTGTAAAAAATAGAAATCCCTATAGAAACTGCATAACATAATGGAGTATTTTGTTCATTTTTCATTTAATAATAGTCATAAATAATAACCAAATATTAGAGACTGTAAACCTTGAAAGGACAGAGTTCTTTTAGTTCATGGACTTGCACACTTTGTCCTTGGCTTCTCTCAAAGTGTGAGATTATGAGAGAGACTAGCTGTGACAAGACTTAAGGGGAGAAAAAGATCCTGATTACTGCTAGAAATATAGCCAATGAGAGCCGTAATAGAAAAGAATATCTCAACTGGAGAAAATAATCCAGCTTTCCCATGCACATGAGCAACTCCCTGGTGGGTTGATTTTGTGAGTCAATCAGACCCAAAGTATAGGTTTAGAGATTACAAAGAAAATAAATACATTTGTAGGTCGGAAGTATCTCACTTGGCCTGAATTAATAGCTTTTCTTTTTCACTCATTTTTGTTCATTGGTGTGTGTGTTTTTCTTTCTTTGATTACTAATGCACTTATTAATTTTGATACAATGTAATTTTAGAAATACATATTGCATTTACTCAGATTTTTGAATTGACTTTATTAATACTCTCTCCTTTCTTTAAAAGGCTAGATGTTTGTTTCATAGGCTTTTGGTAAAAGTCACTTGTTAATTCAGCCATTAGTTGTTGAAAATCTACTGTGTGCTCAAGGCACCTTGAACTTCCTAAAGCTGAATAAAATGTGGCCCTTGATGCCTGAGTCTTGGTATGTTATCTTGCCAAGAAGCAGCTGATTTTTAACAAGATGATAACAGCTCTGGTTGCATACCAGAATCACATGCGAAGCTTGTTAGAAATACACCTGCCCAAGATCCAGCTCTCAGCTTAGGAAAATTCTGATAACAGGTAGGGCCTGAGGTGTGTGCAATTTCAACAACAAGCTCCCAAAGTGAATATAATACATAAAGCAGGATTAGGAACCAATTTTAATTAAGAAAGGACTAACTGCAGTAGTTCAGCCACAAGTCAATCAGGTGAATGTCCTTGACATCTACACCATTGTAGCTGGCTTAAGTCATTTGTTTATAAGGCTGTTTTTTTCTCTATTTCCACTGCTTCAGAGTGGGTAGTTCCAGGCTGAAAAGCACGCCAGAGGAATGGGTGGGCCCTGTCTTTTCTGTAAAACCCCTGGAACAAGTCTGTTCTGGAGAAATAAGATTGCTACAGCCAAAGATCATCTCCAAAGCCTTCCCACTCTGTCCTTATTTCCATCTCACACGAAATCTTCTTATTTGTGTAAATTTTCTCCTTCAGTAGATGGTGAAGCACTCTGGAGCGGGAACAATCCTCTTTATCCCACTAAGGAACACAGTCACCCATACAGAATAGGCACTGACAGGTGTTTGTGTTGAACTGAATTGAATCCTCATCCACCACCATATAGGTATGCATCTAATCATAGTGGACATTTATACATATCCATAAAAGTGTACGTTTGTTTAAAAAAACATTTCAATCACACAAAAGAATATGCAACACACATAAGAAAGAATAATAAGCTGAAACCAGTTTGGTTCAGTGGATAGAGCCTCAGCCTGTGGGCTGAAAGATCCCAGGTTGGATTCCGGTGCGGGCACATCACCACTGGGGGGTGTGCAGGAGGCAGCTGATCGATGATTCTCTCTTATCGATGTTTCTAACTCTCTATCCCTCTCTCTTCCTCTCTGTAAAAAAATCAATAAAATATATATTAAAAAACCCCACAATAAACAAGCACCCTGGACTCACATCCCAGTTGATGAAAGAGGAAGTTGCCAATACCTCTGCGTTCCCTTTGGAACAATAACAGGCTTCTGAAACTTAAATCAGAGTGCATACATCCCATCATTGATGGATTGGATCATCCGTTCATTGGTCAAATGTGTCAGAATGGATGATGATGACCAGGTGATTATTTCTTCTGTTGGAGTGAGCTGGGTCAAAGTGACCTGAGCGCTCTCTCTCGAGACGTGCAGACTGCCTTTGCTGCTAGCAGTGCTGACCCTGCGGGGTCCTCTCCAGCCGGCGTGGCGCGGACGCGCGGACACTTTGGGCCGGAACTACGCGTCCCGGCAGCCCGCGGGGCGGGTGGGCGGGGCCGGGGCCGGGGGGCGGGGGCCGGGCGAGCGGGGGCATTGTGTCGGCAGCGCCGGGGCCGCATTTGTCTGCTCGAGGTGCCGGCGGCCGGAGCGAGCCTGGTGTTCGGCGGCCGCGAGCTGCAAGTGTCATCGGCGGCCGCGGCCCCGGGAGGAGACCGAGTGGGAGGAAACCTCGTGTCCACGACGCCCGGCCGGGAGCGGCGCGCCCGCGGAGCAGCATGCGGAGCGGCGCCCGGCGCCCAGACCACTCCTCCCGCGGCGGCGAGCCCGGGGCGGCGCGGGGGCGGCGGGCGGCATGAAGGAGGCCGGGGGGCGGCTCGGCTCGGGGCGCTGCTAGGAGCGCAGCCGCGCGCTGCACGGTCGCCGGGCGCAGCGGAGGGCGTGGAGCCGGGCGGGTCGCGCCGGCGAGCGGGAGCCGGTGGCCGGAGCTGGTGCTGATTTCGGGCGCGGACGCTACTAGGGGGGCCCGGAGGAGCAGCCCCCGATCCCCGGCGGGCAGCCGACATGGGCAACGCGGGGAGCATGGATTCGCAGCAGACCGATTTCAGGGCGCACAGCGTGCCTTTGAAGCTGCCGATGCCCGAGCCAGGTGAACTGGAGGAGCGGTTTGCCATCGTGCTGGTGAGTGCGCGGGGCTCCCGGCCGGGCTGCGGCGCAGCGGACCCCCCACCCCCCTCCCCTTCTCCCCGCGCGGGGAACCAGCCTCCTGCTCCAGGGGGATGGCGCCCACCTTCTCCAGGGGGGGCCTCCCCCCTCTCTGTCCCCCCTTCCAGTCCTCTTGGGGTCCCGGGCTGGGACTGGGGGCTCGGGGCGGGCTGCCTGGCCGGCTCCGAACCCATTGTCTGGCGGGAGAGGCACCTCGCGGCCGGTGTGCCCGGGCGGTGCGGCGTGGGCGTGAAGGAGAGGGGGCGCGGGCCGGGGAGGAGGGGGCAGCGAGTGGGAAAGCCGATTGTTAAAAAGAAAAATCCCCAAACCCGCAAACCCCGCGTCGCCGCGGACCCTCCCGGCCTGCGGGGGCCGGGCCGGTGGCTGCCTGGGCTGCGCGCCGGGCTGAGCGCGAAGGGGAACTCGCAGGCGGCGGGGCGCTCCCTGGAAGGGGAGGAGAAGGGGGGCCCCCGGGCAGTGGGGCGCCCCGGTCCTTAGCTGGGGAGAGGGCATCGGAACCCCAGGCGCGAGAGAAGCGTCGCCTCAGCGCGTTCCTTTTGGACTTAAATCTAAAAACCACAAAAATGTGCTGTTTTGCGGGGACGTGTTGCGAGCTGCTCTGACTCCCAGGGGTGACCCCTCCCCTCCCATACCAGCCAAGTCCGGGGCTCCCTTCCCTTCCCCGGAACCCCGCTCCTCCTAGTTTACAGCTTTTTCAAACCCAAGACAGAATGCTCTCTTCTTTCTCTCCCCGCCTTCCCCCCCCCCCTCCCCCCCCCAGGCCGGGACTAAGTTTTGGGGCCCCTCCCTGCCATCGCCGGGCAGCGCTGTGAGCTCCAGAGGGTGTGGCGGTCTCCTCCTCGCCCCGGCCGGAGTCCCTGCAGCTGGTGCCCAGGCTGATGTGTGGCGTCCCGGTCTCTCCTAAGGGATGTGGGAAGGGAACCAGGCAGGATCGGACGCGTTCCTCTTCCTTACACTTCCTTGTACATTTCCCTCTTCCTAGTTAGTTGCCTCTAAACTCTGCCAGGCTGTGGAGCCGGAGGAACTTGTGCTCCAGGGCAGCCGCATCTGGCATTTGTTTGCCTGCCTGCGGGTTTTTGGCTTGTAGTTCACACAACCTTGGGAAAGGACCTGGATGGGGGACACTGACTGGGTCTTCCAGCCCGGTGTGATGTGGGGAAATAGTGTTCTGGATGGCGGGTTAGCTTTGTGCTCTTGGGGAGAACAGAGCTGTCTCACACCACCCGGAACCTGGCGTGGCAGCCGCGAGATAGATGAGGCTGCCTGCCTGGCTTTGAATCTTCTGTGATCTCCCACAGCTGCTCCCACCTTGTGCAAGATGGGACCCTCGGAAATGAAACAGCAAAGGCTTAATTACTTCTCAAGGCAGCGTGGGTGCACCCTTGACTTGCCTTTCCAGAGACAAGTCTTTTTTTTTTTTTTTTTTAATTCGAAATCCTCTTCCTACCAGACACATGGTTCTTCCTCCCAGCTCTGAGTTGTCTTTCCATCCATGCTGTGGTCTGTGGTGCTGTGTGTGTGTGTGTGTGTGTGTGTGTGTGTGTCTGTGTGTCTGTGTGTCTGTGTGTCTGTGTGTCTGTGTGTGGAGGGGCTTGCAGTGGAAGGGCCAGTGGCACAGGAAAACCAGATAACAATAATGCAATTAAATTCTGCTCAACTGGGATAGCATGTTTTGCATGAGCTCTCAGTTACTTTGCTGATTAATAACACATGGTATGAATTAATCCTTAGGAAAACAGTGCTCCGTCATTAACGTGGTTGATTTGTGTTACTGTTAAGTCTAGCAGTCACAAATTTAGTAGGTAGACATTTATGGTTCTACACTGTAAGCTCCTTGGGGGCAGTGGCTGGGTGTTGTGGCTACTTTGCTCACACACAGTTACTGGATGCGGCTCCTTTTGTGATTGTTTACAATAGTATAAGCCTATAAAAACAAAACCAAAAAAACACCAGGCTGACCTTTTTTGAATAGAGACAAAGCTTTTGTTTTGGGAAAAATCTCAGCTTGGGGGCCATTGATGTGTTTAATGTAACTCCTTAGTCAGCTCCAGCTGCTCTTTGAAAATCTACAAGTGGAATTAAAGGGAATGGTGGCTAGAAATTCAAAGTTGTGATTTCTCTTCCGGTCAGTTTCTCAAGTTGTATATTCAGTGCTCTCAACTTTGCCTTTCTTCATGAGTGGCTTAAGACATCAGCTCAAACCATTTAATTCTGGAGATCAAGCTGAAAGGACACATTTTAGGTTGGCAAGTGTTTAAGTTTATATGTGGAGAAATTCTCTACTCTGAGGCACTGGGAATCATTTTGGCATTATTGAGCCTAGGTGGTTCCCCTTCTCCCCCCTGTATCATAAAGATGATATGTGTTTTTGGGGAAAACCAGATAGTAATACAGTACAGAAAATTATGCAAGCACCTCATTGTAAGTATGGCTTACATCAATAATTAACGAGCCATTTCTGGCATAGAAAACAATTCCTCCCCACCCCCAAGCTCTAGAATATTTAATGCACCGGGGAAGAGTAAATAAAAATAAGAGTGACAGAAGTCCATCTATTTGTGGAAAATGTATGAGAGAACACATCTACTCAGTGGCTGTTCCCCCACCCTCCTCAGTCTGTATGAGTTAAATTCTGTCAATAAATAAAAATAAAAAAAATTAGTGGGAGTGAGTGAAAAAGTGAGAGGAGAGAGTAAAAGACTGCTGAATTAAGATCATTGGAGGGATAAACTTTAAAATATAACAGTATTTTTATAGGAAAAAAGATTTTTAAATTTTGTGTTAACTGAACTTTAATTAATGACTAGTAAAACATGGAACGAATTCTTAAAGAGCTTAATCCTCCTAAGGAGAGTCTCCCCCCTCCCTGGGTGTTGTTTCTGTTACATTCTTTGATGGAAGTATTTCACAAATTGTAAATTTAATTGTCTGCTTCAACTTGTTTCTTTAGGGTGTATATATTTTATGTATTTTACAGGTAACATTGACCTGTATTTTTGGGGTCTCGCATAAACTATTTTGGGGTTTCGCCTGATGCATGAAATTTGTGCAAGGGGCTCTGCCTGGCTTAGTCTGGAAGGTCGTCCTGATGGTTGTACGGAATGTTGTCTGGACGGTTGTTCGGCTGTTCGGTCTTATTAGCATATTAGGTCTTTATTATATAGAATATCTATGTGGCTCTCCATTATTAAACACTGCCTGATTGTTGGGAACACCACACAAACACACTCACACTCTAATACTCCCATGCCCTTTATTTTCAGAGATGACACTATGAAAGTGGTTTTGGGTGTGGCGAACAACTGATTATCTTTGTTCAAGAGTACCTCTTTCAACTTTACATATTCCTATTACTCACATATTTATGGCTTGCAGTCGCTGTTTGTCCCCCAGTGCCGTAGTCAAAGAGCTGTCCTCAAGATTCTTTTGAGTTTCAGAGGAAAGGATAATTTTAAGCCTTGCATTCCAGCTGCTGTATCTCTGGGATATCAGATATCAGGCTGGTCAGCCAGCAGATTACAAAAGACAGATTGGGAAGTGATGGTTTAGGGCAGTCTTCTGTGTTAGATTCTGGGAACTGCTTTGGTATGTGATTAATTTGAGTCAGTTTCTTTCTTTCTTTCTTTTTTTTTTTGCTTGCCCTGAGGTTAAATGTGGTTATTTTGCTTTAGGAAGAAGCAGGAACATTTTCTGGGTACCTACTATGAGTACTCGCTTGTGCTTACATGTTCTCATGTAATCTTCACAATAACTCCAGCTATCGGCAACATTTTAGTCGAGGAAATAAAGATTACCGAAATTGCCTGAGGTCATAGGAGATAGCCAATCTAGGATTTTAACCCAGATTTGGATCTCTGTACTATTCCCCCCTAATTATATTATACTTTCTTAAGCCTAGAACTGGGAAGGAAAAAAAAAAAGGGGGGAGGAGGGCTAGCAGTAAAGCTATAAGAAAACCCCCAAAACCCCAAACCCAACTCAAGCAGGAAATTGCAAGGTTCAAACGATAACATTGGCAGACATTTTGTAGATTGGTTAACGTCGGGGCGCTTGATGCTTCTCTCCAGGTGTCAGACATGTTGGCATCTCCACCACACTGTTCTGTTCTTAGCGCATGGAGTCAAATGTTCATTTAGTCTCAAAGTGGGCAAACTTAAACTCCTTGTGGGGAAGTTTAGGGCTTCCACGTCAGGGGGAGGAGGCAGGGGGAAGAGACAGTCTGTCAGTGCAGTGCCTGCACTCCAAATGTAATTACTTGTGAAAGGGACAAGGAAGGTCAGGGCTTTCCAATTAAGCTGATTTCCCACTGCAAGGTGTTGTTCCCTTTCAACCGCTTCCAAGGAGAGCGCCTGCCATGAAGTCTGCTGAGCAGATGGATGGGTAGCAGTGGAGTGAGGCCATCGTCAGATGCATGCTGATTTGTTTTCTCACATCCCTTTTCCTGTTGGGAGAGAAGGGGGTGAAGTGTTGTCACTTTGTGCCATGGCAGTCTCATCCTAGGCAGTAAGCCTGAGCTGCTTTATTCCCCAAAGCAGGAATTTATGCTTAGGACTGTGCTAATCATCATTATCTGGGTGCACTCCTCTTCCCTCCCCCTTACCACACAATACACACTCGCGTGTGCTGCGTGTGCACGTGCACACACACACACACACACACACACACACACACTAGTGGCCCAGTGCATGAAATTCATGCACATTAAAAGGGGATTAATTAGAGGAAATATTTTAATATTGCTATTTGCCCTTTCTCTATAATAGAAGTGTCAGAGATGAAAGAAAATTAGTAAAATTTATATGAAAATCTTCCTCCTGTCAAAGTCGGGGGTGAGCCGCGGAACCCAGAGTCAAGTCCCCGCCCACCCATGGTGCCTCGAAATCACAAGAGACCCAGCCCCAGCCCACCCCACCCTCATTGGGCCAGATCCAGACCTGGCTGGCCCCACCCCTGTC